ATACAATATGGTCACCTATTATTACTCCTCTTTTGGTATTCAGTTGAGCTCTCATACTCGTTCTTTAACCGCAGTTCAAATATGACTTTCATTCACAAACGTTGACTCATCACTTCACGTTTTATTAAGAACCAATATAATGGCTTGTTAACTCAGTTGGTGAAGCACTGCACCGGTATCGCAGGGTTCATGGGTTCGAATCCCGTACAGGCCTTAATTTTTTTGCAGGCCTCATTTTCACTACTGCTTTAAAAGTAGTGCTCGTTACTGCGAAGATCTCTCCCATACTCAAGTGCTTTCTGTTCGGTTATAAGGTATAAGGTAATTTGAAGCCCTTTCAAATCATTAAAACGCGCTCTCATCCATCATATATATCATTACATCGTGACTCGGTTTCCTTTACCTTTTGTCTTGGTAACTATGACAGTAATAAGAGGACCTCCACGTTTACGTTCCTCGCCTCACACCGGTTGTAAGAATGCAACTACACGTAGTAAATAAACAATATACTCTCCACTACTCATCCTATTCCCTTGTTTACGGAAACCATCATAAAGTTCGTGCATAGAAAGGTAGCATACAGTTCCCTTTTTCATGTTTGTAGAGATGTCTCTTACAACAAACTTGCTGAAGTGACATTTCATTGTGACACAATAATGCCGTTAGTCATGCACCCAACAGAGCGCCCTTGATTGAGTGTTGTATCAGACCAGACCAAAGAGATCACAACAGCCAATCAGGCGAAAGATGTCTCAAGTTGCCGAAAATAACTCAAAGTAAAACAAGCAAACTCCTAAGAGCGGGGCAAATCGCGACCAGATCGTCTCTACTTTGGTGGGATTAGGCCTCAGGCCCTTGTTCGTCAGGAGAGGTCCCATGAAATTTACCTCGCTCATCCTCAGCTTCATCTTGTCTGGGTTAAGGACAATGCCGCGGTCCTTGCACCTTTGAAGGAGATCTCGTAGACTCCTGTCGTGGTTTGCGGTGGCCTCTTCGTCGATCTCTCCAGTGCCATAAATGAGGATGTCGTCCGCGATGCGGACGACGGGTAGGTTTTCCAGTGCGTGAGTTAAATGATTCTGGGAAATCTCGGACGAGGGGGAGAGACCGAAGGGCAAACGAATCCATCTGTACCTTCCGTAGAGTGTTGCGAAGGTCGTGGGTACGCTGGACTCAGGGGAAAGGACACAGTGCCAGTATCCCGACTTCAGGTCAACTGTCGAGAATACTTTTGCTTTTGAGAGCTCCGGGAGTATGTTCTTAAGTACAGGAGGCCGATACCTTTCTCTCTTCATGGCGGTGTTAGGTGGCCTGGCGTCGATACAGCTTCTCAGCGCTCTAGATTTCTTCACAGCCACGGCCAGACTGCTAACCCATGGAGTGGGCTCATCGATTGGAGCTATGACCTCCAACTGCTGTAGTCGATCCAGTTCTTTCCTCAGTTTCACTTGGAGTGATGTTGGGACACGACGTGGAGGTGCCAAGACGGGAGTTGCGCCCTGTTCGACTTCAAGGTGAACTGTTCCTGGTATTGCTCCTAGCTCTCTTTGGAACACCTCTGGGTAGGCTGCTACTATTTCGTCAGCCGTCTGCACACTCTTAACCTTTGCCCTTGGTCGTTCAGGTGGTTTTGCGATCGTCAAGTTTTGAGTGCTGACAGCAATTAGACCCATCTGTTGAGCTGCCTTTACTCCAATGAGTGACTGTCAACGCCAAGGAATTCCACTGAGAACTTCTTCTTATTCTTTGGATTGTGAAGAATTAATCGACAGGAACCCAGTGGCTTTAGTGTTGTGTCGTTCCACATTTGTAGTGTCTTTGTGGTGGGTTCAAGCTTCTTATTAACCACAAGATCGGCGGAAATGTCATTCGCCGAGACGCTGCTGTCTATTTGAAATTTCACTTCTGTCTTGCCCACAAGCATCTCAGTGTAGATTACTTTTGGGTAATCATGTTCTTGCGCGACGGCGTGTATCATTTCCGGTTGTGCAACAATGCTTGTAATGTACTCCACGTCGCTGTCATCGGAGGATTCATCTCTCAAGTTGTACACTTTTCTATCTGGGAGTTGTGCAGGTTGTTGCGAAGTGATTTCTGCCACCGCACTTTGTACATTTCGCACCCCACGCTGGACACTTTCCTTTTTCGAAAGGATGTGCTTTGCCACAAAATTTACAGGTCTTCGTCTTCCCCGCGCGGCTTTTCTTAGACTTGTCATCACAGTAGCTTGAGGGCGGGTGTTTATCTTACACAGTGGGAACATCTTCGTTCGGGGCGCCCGAGATCGTTTTCAATTGCAAATTTGTTGCATCAGAACTCTTGCAAAGATCGATACACTTCGCCAGAGTGAGACTCCGTTCTTGTAGGAGCCGTTTGCGAGTGCGGTGATCTTGAATGCCCAGGACGATCCTGTCGCGAATGATCGAATCACGCATGCAGTCACAAAGATTGCATGTTTTCGCTAGTGTGCGAAGAGCGGTGACATAAGCATCGATGCTTTCCTTTTCCTGTTGATTTCTGGAGTTGAAAGTGTACCTTTCAAAGGTTTCGTTCAGTTCACCGATGGTGAATTCGTCGAACTTTTGTATTATCTTTCTCAGGTCATTTTTATCATCTGCACTGTCGAATTGGAAGCCGTTAAAAATCTTTAACGCATCAACACCGATACAGTGGAGAAACAATGCGACTTTGTACGCCGGCGGTTTCATCTCGAGTTGAGTAATGACCATGTAGTTGCTCCACATTTGTTTCCATACTTTCCAGTTGTCCGCCACATTCTCAGTCGTAACTAATTTTCCATGAAGCATTATTCCGGTCATCGCGCCAAAAGGCGGGTGTTGCACAACTCCCTGTGGTGCTTGTGTCTGTTGCGAAGAGCCAGGTGGTGGCGCCTCAGGCGCCGTTTCTGAGTCAGGCGTTGCTACACCAAGATGATTTCAACTGTCTTTTCGACTCTGTAAGTGGTAGGCGAAGGATTCGTTATCCTATTTCGCTGCCCCCCATGCTTCAAGATCCATTTAATCAATCATTCATTAGCATATAGCGTTGTAAAACAAAACAGATGTAACTCGATCTCAGTCTAGTTAAACACTAAAAGTGCATATAATCACGTGCATATTGTAACACGTGGCATGGTTGGTACCAATGTGCTTAAAAGTCAACTTGAAACAGGAGCGATAGCGAAGCCCTCTATTGCGTCTTCTGCAAAAGATTTAGGGCGTTTGATATCACCTTAAAGTGTGAAGATAGGTCCCTTGACAATCTTCACATGAAGTAGCCGGAACTCAAAAATCACCCACCAGCACTAATGATAAAATGAAATGCCGTCAGGGCACTCAAACAAAGTTTTCGATTCCACCCGGCTTTAAAAGCACGTGAGCCACCTGATTTTGCCCTTAAATATTTTAACAAGAGACCAATGAGTGTTATTTCATTATGCATTTTTTTTTTACAGGAATATTCTCCCGTCAGGCAGTGCATTTAGATAGCAGTAGTACTGAGTCGACAAAACGAACGTATTCGTATTCGAAACGCATCCATGCCATTTAATGATAGACGAAACAAAATTTGTGCTGTTTTGTAACTTATACTACGTCAAATGGCCATAACAAGGGCCTGAATTCTTAGACCATGATCTAAAATGCAGGACATAATTCATCTGTAATACGTACCTCTTCAGATTTAATGAAAATTTCAGTTTGACTCATCGATTCTCGCATTTTCTTCTTAAGTTTGAATTAGAAGGCTACTAACAATGATGTACATATTTCAATCGTAATGATTCGTGGCGGTACGTTAACAACTAAATTTACGTTATAGCAATAATCTTGAATTAATAAAGTTCTTTTGAGCCTTAGTAAAGTACTATTTGTAATTATACTGATTACCCAGAAACATTCAGGGAAAGTGGACCTCTGAAATGATTTCAGGCAGTGTCATAGATAAGTTGTAAAGTTGAACACAACAATAAGGTTGAAAAGCTGAACAAAGTAAAGTAATACTTGTTATTATACTGATTACCTTGAAACATTTAGGGAAAGTGGACCACTGTAAAGATTTCAGTTAGTATCATAATTAAGTTGCAAAGTTGAACACAGCAATAAGGTTAAAAAGCTGAACATATTGGCAGTGGGCTTAGTACAATGGCGATGATCAAAGCGAGTGGTGAAACAAATTGAAGAAGGGTTAAAACGTTTTTGACAATAGTTTTCTGTTACGCAACAATCCATACCTAGTCTCCTCTCGCAGCCGTTCTTTGTCTCGGGATCCCCGTGTCTCCCTCGCCACAAACGGCTGCTCGTGTTGACCAAACATACCATTCCAGCCGAATGACCAATCAGAGTGCCGCCTTCCGAAATCTGGAAGGCTCATAATATATCCATCTCGCCAATGCTTTTCAAAATGGCGGATATGAGCGAAGCTTTCAGCGTTGACAGTGATTTTTTCAAAATTTCCGATTTAAATGAACATCAAAGTTGCAATTACAAAACCGGTTACAGAGAAGCAGGACGTCTTTGTTAATCTTCCAATTGGCTTCGTTAAATCTTTAATTTTTCAAAGTTGGCAGTGAGTGTTTGACTCTTTGACTAAAGAATCGGGTCACATTGTCCTTGTTTTATCGCCTCTGCTTACACTTATCGACGACCAGATACAAAATTTGAGAGCATTAGGGATGTCCTGTGTAAGTCTCAGTCATCTTGACACCGATAAAGAAATATCAGACGTGGAGAAGGGCTTCTTTCAAGTTGTTTACGCTACTCCCGAAGCGATTCTAAAGAAAAAGAGGTGGCGACAAATGTTGCATAACAATACTTACGCATCCCGAACAACTGCTCAAGGCTCAGTAGTTGAAGGAAACAAAGGGAATGGAATGTTTGGTCAACACGAGCAGCCGCTTGTGGGGAGGGAGACACAGGGATCCCAAGCAAAGAACGGCTGCGAGAGGAGACTAATGCATACCCCGTTTTTCGCAAAACGTAGCGATGAAAGAAATATCAATACTGGAGTTAGTTGGAACTTTATTGGAAATTTTATCGTCATTTACATCAAAACAGCTCACTACCTTTTTTCTTATCTTTCCTGAAAAACTTTTCTCGAGATGACTTTTGAACAATGAAACAGACAAATATATTAATCTCGACATTGAAATCTTAGGTAACATCGACAAGCAAGTTTACAGGATGGATTCAAGAGTAGTGAACCCATAGCTCTGAGGTGCCCTGGAAGTGCTGACATCTTTCCCTTGCAACTTTTTGTCCATCAGGTATTCCTTCTCCATTTGCTGCTGACTCCAAGTAAGCACCCTGTCAATATTCGGTGTCTCAAGCCCAATGATTTCAGCAATACCCCGGATAACAACCAAGCCAAAAGGTATATCCTCCGTCATGTAACGGTGGGTGAAATCTGGAAGGAATTTTCCATCCTCAGTTATCTTTACTGGATGCTTTAATCCTTGGTAGGCAGCATTTGTTTGTATTGCAGTGTAAAGATTGGTCTTGTCAGCGATGTCTTGTGGATAACACCTCATGTACCAATAGTAAATGTGCTCCACCTGTAACAGATTGTATCCAAATAGTTGACATTATGACAATACAGAGCTAATAATAGAGCAAGAGATAGCTTTTAAACAGAAGGGTTACGTTAGTGGTAAGCTTCGTGTCTAAGAAAAGCTATGAGTTAAAGGAACCGCTCAGAAAAGTATCATGCAAATTAACTGCAGATTGCACACTGAAACTTCCTTGTAATGTTACAAAGATATGTTCTATTACCCACCAAAACGGAGTGCAGATCTACACCTAAGATTTCACGAATCGTAATTAGAAACTCGCAGAGGAATTGTTAATTACAAATAAAAGGGAGTCGCAATTTGCTAAAGAAGGCCTTTTAAAAAACACATTTGAAAATAATCGCGATGAAAAAAAAACACCAAATTATATATTTTGTTATTAAAGCTACCAAATTAATTGCTGGTTCCAGTCGCAGTTACTCCAATCGTTATTTTGTGTGTCTTTGTCTCGCAGTCTTTGTTGGGAAGTTCTTTGTAGTGTAGAGTAGAGAGCGTTAATATGAACATGTAAGAGTAAGAAATTATATTGTAATGCAATCCAGTCGTGTGAAAGTGAGAGAATAAAGTGGTCGTGAATGAAACGGACGAGAAATATGTATATAATGACGACGTTCCGTAAGATCGTCGGGGTTAGTTACGACTTGTAACAGTCATTCATTAAGCTTCTTTTAACTTGACCAGGACTATTACGTTCTTGGCAGGGATTCAATTTTCGACAAATACATGGGTACGACCGTTTTTCTTTTTGTCTGGTGAGAAATTCCAAACTTGAATGTAACATAAAATGCAAATCAGAAAATAAAATGGAACACCTTACGTTAGACATGTCTGCTCCTGTTTTCTCTCCAAAAGCCTTGGCAATACTCACAACCTCATCAGAGACACTGGAGAGAATATTTGCTGCTGACTCGGTCAAGCCATTGTAGAACAAAGGTGCCTCAGCCAGTGGCTTCCCATCCCACCCTACCCACTGACCATAGGTTATTGAAGTGTGCAAGTAGGCATTAACACTCATTAACTGAACACCCACAAGGTGACCTGAGACAATCAACTTGGGAAGAGGTCCTAGGAGATATTGCAATGTTGATACCGGATCCTTCTGGGGTGCCACACCCTCCCCTTCCTTCAGAGACAAAAATCGTTAATTAACAGGCGATTATAAATCAACCATGAGCGGACATCCGAAATGCAGGCTTCAAGAGCAGCTATGGCGTGGTCTTGCGAAGATATGTCATTGGGTCTAAACGACAGATAAAGTTGTGTATCATCGGCATATCCGTGAGCAGAGGGGAGATGGTTAGCGATCACGTGATATAGTCGAGATATGTATAATATGAATAAAATAGGACCCATACAGCTGCCTTGTGGGACACCGCAGTTCAAATGAAAATCATCTGATGTTCGATCGTTTATGAGAACACGTTGTTTTCGGCCAGACAGATAAGACGCAAACCATTTATGGGCAGAGCCAATGATTCCAAAATCGCTTTCAAGAACATTAAGGAGAATCTGATGATCGATTGTATCAAAAGCAGCGCTTAGATCCAGTAGCACAAGAAGCGTAATTTCCTGATGGTCCATTGACATAAGAATATCACTTTGAACCTTAAGCAAGGCAGTTTCGGTAGAGTGAAATCTTCTAAACCCTGATTGTAACTTCGGCAGAGGAGCATTGTATTCACAGTGCTTAAACAATTGAGAAAGAACCGCCTTTTCGACGATCTTGGAGATGAATGTTAGATTGCTTACCGGACGGAAGTTTTTATAAGTTAACTCTAGACCGGGTTTCTTTAATAGAGGTTTCACAATTGCAGTTTTCCAATCATCGGGAACATAGGCGTGGCGAATAGACAAATTTACCATGCGAGTAATGGAGGGCGCAAGGACGTCAAGACAAGACTTCACAAGCCATGTAGGGATTGGATCCAGGGAGCATGAGGCATTAGACGATGTACTGATTATATTGCAAACATCTTCCACTGATAACGGCGAAAAACTGTCAAGTTCTACAGCTGGAGCAGCAGTATCAGAATAAGGAGGATTAACTTCAATATCACTGATGGAATCTTTGATGAGTTCAATTTTTTTAACAAAGAATTCCCCAAATTTATTCGCAAGTAGAACTGGGTCATCATGAGGTGGTAGATCATTAACATTAGGACCCTTACAAAGGAATGAAACCAATTTGAACAACTTCCCGGAGTCACCAGCGCACTGACCAATTAAATCTGAGTAATAAGAAGCTCGAGTAGACTTGAGAAGAGCAGAATATCTATTACAGATTTTACGATAAGCAAGCCAATCTGAAGAAAGACCACTTTTAAGAGCTTTCCGCTCAGCCTTGCGACGAATACGTTTAAACTGGAGAACATCAGCGTTAAACCAAGGGATCTTTGCACGAGTAACAAGAGTTTTTGTCTTTATGGGAGCATGTTTATCCAGGATTTCTGTTAAAGTCGAGGAGTACTGCTTGGATAAATCGCCAAGGTTGCTCCAGTGTGTGTCACTGCAAAGTACAGACGAGGTGATGTCCGATTTAAATGCATCAATGTCGATGTTCTTTAACCTGCGATATGACACAGACTTGGTAGAGATTGATGAACTTGGGAAGCGAATAAAACACTCAACAAAAAAATGATCCGAGATGGGTAAGGTGACGTTAATGGGACCCAAAATTAAGTCACTGGTGGATCGAGTGATGATAAGGTCCAAAATATGCCCAGAAATATGCGTGGACATCGTTACGTGTTGTGAGAGGCTGAAGGTTTCCAGCAACTCTTTAAATCTTATAGCACAATTGCTATGCACCAAATCCATGTGAAAGTTGAAATCCCCAGCGATAATAAGAGGTTCAGGACACATGACAATGTTTTCAAGATACGACGAAAACTCATCAAGAAATACCGACGCAGAAGAGTTGGGAGGGCGGTAAACAGCAACAATACGGATAGAGCGATTTGTTGTCTTCAAAATCCATTCGGAAAATGGATTTTGTGGAAAATGGATTTTGTGGAAAATGGATTTTGTGGAAAATGGATTTTGTGTTACGACTAAAACTGTGTTGCAGCTCCGAAATGAAGCTTTTCCACCAAATTAAATACGTCTTTAACTGAGGTGAATGGCAGCGTCGGCGATGAGGCTACAAAATACTTGCCGCCCTATTTGAATGATTGGAAGTAACCAGTGAAGGTTAATGGACTAGCATTGTGGTGTTCCTTAAGGCATTCTCTAAGGGCCACTCCTGTTTAACATATTCATCAATCGTTTAAATTTTTTTTGTTCACTGAAGTTTCTTCTTCGAGGCTCTACATTGATGACACGACACCTCGTGCAAAGTTTATACCAAGATTGGAGCTCCAAGACGTATTAAAAAAACTGGTGCTTACTGAAATCCACTTCTTTTAGGGATCAATAGGACTTTGATTAATAATTTGCTAAATACTAAGCGTTAAAGGCCGTGCAAAATTTAATTAAGAACTTAGATTATGATTCCAAATTGTCTATTGCAACTATGCATTCTCTCGAGTATAGGAGGTAAGATGGATTTCTTGTCTCACTCTCGAAATGTACCAAGGAAAATGGGCCTGATTAAGAAATAGTTGTCATTATCTTGTTCAGCTTTATCATAATCAGTATTATCATATGACCCATAGAAAACCATAGTGAAAGCTGGCGTGTGTAGGGCCGGACGGGGAAAAAACTTAAAGGAAAAGAAGGAAAGAATGAAATAAGTCCCGTTTTTCTATGATTCGTGTCTTTTTATTTTTCTGACTAGAAACAACACAGAAAAAGTTTTTATTGTAAATCTTTTTTGTGGTTGTCCCGGGAGCGCCCTTCTATCATATCCTATTAAGTTGGAAAAAATTTTTCAACATTTAGTGGCCATATCATAAAATGCTTATTGACTGAGTTTGATTTGGCCGGACGGGAAAAATATTTGGCTCTCGGTCATGGCCCTCCCAATCGGTCAATAAGTACATATTATCGTAACTCATTTAATTATAAGATATCGCAGTTATGAAATCAGCTCCTGTCACATTTTAAGCAGTCAAAAAACATGAGTGACTTTCGCATGAAGTTCAGATCATTTGATTTTTCAAACTTAAAGACCAGCTACAAATGTAAAAACTGCTCATCTTAGACATTTTAAATCGTTTTAGCCTGACATTTTCAATTGTTGCAAGTATTATTATTACTATTATCATTATCATTATTATTATTATCATTATCATTTCCTCTTAGGCTCTACTCAGAGCGCTCAATAAAGAACTTTTCCTCATCGCAGTCAAACAATTTTCACGCACGTGTTCAGCGAAGGACAGAATTTTGAAACAGTGGGCGAGGCATCACAGTCGTCATCAATATTTCAGTACTTTGGGGAAATTCTGTTGAGGTGCTCTTGAGAAGGGTCCTAGAAAAATCTCAGTTTCTTTTTTTCTCGGCTTCAGGATTTTGCTTTCTGGTTAAGACCTCGCTAATGATTAATTTCAAACAATCAAAACCAGGTATTTCAGATTTAAGTCAAATAAACGCTCAATATAAGAGCACTGTTTTCTGACGGGGTGACAATGTAAAGAGTGTGGGAGCAAAGAATCGAGGCGTGCCAGACATATAGTCCAGGCTCCAAGACTTTCAACAGAGGGTGCCCGTTTGACAAATTAATCATGAAACAATTTCTCGTGGTATGCAAAGCTTAATCTCATTCGTCACTGTATTTTCTTCATACAAACACTCACCCAGAGGTTTGTGTGTATACTGAAAACGTTCTTCTCAAAAGCACTGCACGACTTGGAATATTTGCTTTCCTTTTCAAGCACGAGAATCACCCCTATATCATCAAATAATATGAAGTACACGTACCTTCAAGGCTCCCAGTAGAGTTTCCTTGGTGCCAAGAACTTCACATTTAGCACCAAACTCAGTTATACGGCATGCCCACGGTAAAGATTCAAAATTCATTACAGTGCATTGCCGTCCTGTCTCGCCCAGCACGTGACGAACTTGGAACTCAAAACCCGGTTCTCCCGGCATACCAACAAGTATTGTGCCAGGTTTTATATAAGGTTTTAAGGCATCCAGGAAGACCTGATGGGCAAACGCTGGGAGTACAAACACGACAATATCCACATTTTGCATGGCATCCTGAGCGTTTTTGGTTACCATTGAAGGTTTCGACGTAACAGAAGTTGTATCTTGCCCCTTCCGATGCAAGATGACTTCAAGGTCTTTAGTCTGCATGCTGGCGTTCCAACGCTCTGCTTCATCTTGATACAGGCTAAGCACACGAACTTCAGTTCCGTGCAAAGAGGACGCTATGCCGGCAAATGCGTGCGCTCCATTACCGCTGCCACATATCAACAGCTTGATGGCATCTGAACCCATCTCCTATAAAACATAAAGAAAGTGTGGTCCGTTAGAAGTTACAAATTAAGATATGTACCACACGAGAGGAGCAATCTCACCGTAAATGGCTTTTCCATAGCTGCCCCTTATGCATTATTGGCACACAAAATCAATGAATGTAAAACAAGGTACATAACATGGTCACGCAAGTTTACCTGAGGCAGCTGCTCATAAGCTGAGTGCATTCTGAGAATGAACAGATTTTACATAAAATGTCGATTTACACATCTGGGCCTAGTTGTTCAAAAGCCGATTAGCGCTAATCCGAGGTCAAATTTTAATCCGGGTTTCTTTATTCCTTTCTGCAAAAACCTTTTTTCAGATAAGTTTATCTATTCTGTTTAGAGCATTTAATCACCAAATTGTAAACAAAAATAATTATACTGAACGTTCTTCTAAATCCTTCAGATCTGAAATCCGAGATTTCACACTAACCATCTGTTAGCATACTCCAGCTTTGAACGACCCGACCCCGGACCCAATTGTATGAAGGGCGGATAACGCTATCCAACGGATAAATGCCTATCCAGCGGATAAGTGATGACAAAACGTACTGCGTTATCCACCGAATAGAAATTTATCCGGTGGAGAGCGTTATCCAGCCTTCGTACAACTGGGGCCAGAAATATAAACACAAATCCAGAAATTCAACTCTCTTAGAGAAATGTAAATTTTAATTGCACCGCAATGGCTGTAGAGCGACTTGACTATCATAAGTGCATCGATTAAAATCATTTTGATGTATAATTTACATCTTTTTTATCAATTTTACTCTGAAGACATATACCTGAAGCCTTGGGATAGATGAACTGTTCATACTATTTACTCGGGCTCAGCTCCGAGTCAGAACGTGCTGTTCGTGTTTGTGCGTCAAATCTGCAATAGGTCACTAATGCGCAGGCGCTACCGCTTAGTGAAGCGAGGGCTCAAAGTTTTTCGATCATACAATACAATACAATACAATACAATATTCCTTATTTTAAGAGGGTAAATATATGATTAACCCACTAAAGAGTTTTCTAACACATGGCCCTCTGTAATACAGAAACAACCCCCCCATCTCGCCCCAGCGGAGGACATCCATCACACAGTCATCTCGTGTGTGGGAAATTAACGTCTCCTACCCCAACCCTGCAGGAGACGGGACCTCCATTTATCGTCCCTATCCGAGAAGACTAGAATATCTAACCATTTCTAGATGTTATAAAAGGTAGCAAATTCTTCTCAATTATTTTAAGACCCCGAGTGTTGGTCCGGCCGGGGTTCGAACCCTCGACCTCCCGCACAACAGTCCAGCGCTCTTTCCATTGAGCTAACCGGGAGGCGGTTGTTTCAGAAGCTTGACATACATAATTTCGTAATTTCGACGTGTTATAGTCAAAGGAGAAGAGAAAGTCATGGCGATTTCTATCAGTACGTTCAGGTCACACACAGATCCACGCGCCGTTCGCGGTAGACCTACTTTAAAAGATGTGGAGCGTTTATGGAAAGGGTCGCTCCGCGAATTGATAGCGCACCGACAGGGCTGAATAACGTATACGCCTGCACTAGGTTTTGCCGAGGAAACAGGGATTTGAGTCGTTCGCATGGATGATTTCCTATTCTGTTGCTTCGAGGCGTCGTTTTCTCTGCCGCTTTTCTTTTACAGAACAACCTCCAAAAACTTGGTACACCCCCTACAAATTTTCAAAAATTAATCTTCTCCTTAAAAACTCTGGAATTAGGAGTTCCACGATCTTGAAAGTCAGCCCTTGTTATTTTCCGCTAATTTCGCGAAATTTTAGATCTAGGACACTTGAGCCCGCGTTGTTGACCGCATACCCTCTGACGTAGCATTTCATCATATCAAACTCACGGGGTACAAATAGTCTCTTACTGAATTTCGTGACCACGCCCACTTCATCGGCCCACTCAAATCGAGTGCGATTTTTGGATGTTATATCATCTTGCCGACTCTCTGTATTAAGTTGACAATGTACCACCGAAATATTGAACTATAATATCATGGCTTTCCATTTTGTGTATTTTCGTACTACAAAGTAAAGTTTTTCCCTCGTCATTTTCAACTTTTCCCGAGCGGGTCCGTCAAAATTAAGAAGGCGTTCGTGGTCAAAACAAGACCGAGCAAGGAGTCTTGGGCGATTTCTCTCTTACGCAAGCGCAAATTGAAAATGTACCACCAAAATCAAAGAGAGGAACAAATTTCCTTTGTTTTGATATGTAAATTGTCGAACAAGGAGCAGATTGAACCTCGTCAAATGGCTAGTCAAAACAGCCACACCTTCCTCCTTTTGCTCGTTTCCTGTTTTATAAGCGTGAAAGCAGTGGGAGAAGAATCGGGTAGCTCGGAAAGCGCTTCACCATCGTTTACTTACGAGATAAACAAGTAAGATTTGTAAAGTTATTTTCCGAAAGAGTCGGAATAAATACATTTTTTTCAGGTTAGATTGCTGTTTTTACCCTAAACGTCGTCCAATAAATTTTTGTTGCAGCCTACTAATCTATACAATTTCGAAGGAAAATATTCAGATGCTTCACCGTCCCCGAAGGGGGTTCTGTCCTGGTGTACCGGTTCACAAGGGAATTACCATTGTTCTTTCTTTGTTTAGGAGTTATCGGTTAGCTATTGTGTATTGTTTGGTCTTTTGTATTGGCTCTTGTGAACCGGTACACGAGGACAGAACCCCGAAGGGTCTCCACTCATCGAAGTGTGTACTGTAGCCAATGTAGTGAATTTTCAGTCTCTTGTTGGGTTTGTCAACCTCCGTGACTTCAATATCATACAATTTTGTATCTTTTCTCTGTGAAATGACCTTTTTAACAGGGGTGTATGCTGAGTATTCGTTGCAGAATCGCTTTGGTTCTCTTATCTCTCTCTTTGGCTTGTCCGCCATTTTGAAAATTTGCTCAGGAGGGCATCTGGGTTAGCGGCCGCGCCAGGCTGGAACCGACAAAAACAAATGTCCATCGCAGTGGGGAAACAGTTTGATATGATTGTCGAAAAACCAT